CCTCGGGGCGCCGCAAGCGGGATCAGGAGCCGGTGAGTAGCCGGCGCCGTGCTCCCCTCTTCCCGCCTGGGCCGAGAGCGTGCGCCCCGGGGGCAGCCGCGGGGGGAGGGGGCGCGGGCGCCACCTGGACGGCCCGGGAACAAAGGAAGGCGCCCCCGGCGCGGCCCTCGGGGCATCCTCACCTGTGGGGCGCAAGGCGCCGAAGTCCCCTGGCCCGAGGGTCCGGCTTCCGCTGCCGAGGCCTTTTTACCTGGGCTCTCCTCTGGAGGACGCCCGAGTCGGCCCAGGGGGGTCGAGGGGCCGCGCGGCCTGGGACCCTCTGCACTCCAGGACGCGGTGGGCGCACGCGATAGCGTCTGCTGACTCGGAGACGCGGGGACCGCGGGTCACCGCTCTTGGGCGGCGGCGCACGCGGTAGGCGCGCTGGGTGCCGGCCCTGAGCGGGGCCCCCCCGGGTGGAGGGATGAGCCCCGTGAGGAAGGCGGGGCGGGAGGGGGCCGCTCTGGCCGCCTGGCGCGCGGCCCGGGGTCCCCGGGGACGCGCCTCTCCGCGGGCCGGCGCCGCCGCCCTCCCCCTGCGGGACCCCGCGCGCGGGGGTCCATGGAGTCCTCTCCACTGGCGGCGCTCAGAACTGTTCCCGGCCACGCTGCGCCGGGCTAGGAGAATCTAGCGAGAGAAATCTTTGTGAGAGAGTGGGTGAAAGTGAGAGGGAGCGGGACCCAGCGAGTCCGGGCACCGCAGGCCCAGCCGTTGTGGGGGGGAGCAGCCACCGGGAGCCCACAGCCCCCGCAGGCCGAGACCCCCGCCCTGCTGGGAGCGCCTGGCCTCCGGTACTCTCCGGTCCCCCACCCAATGCACACCCCCGCCAGGACACGGTCTCCACATCCAGACCCACTCTGGGACACACCCAGAGACACACAAAGACTCACACTGGCTTGTGGCCCGTCACCCTCGCCCTCAGATGTGCACATACTGCATCCCAGATGCACATTCGCACACCATCGGGGCGCACACACACATTCCATCCCTGACACACACACATTCATGGTCACACTCTTTCCGAGGGAGAGGCAACACAGGGCACGCACGCAGGCACAACCTGCCCTGGATGTTCGCAGTCACTCCACGCACCCCATCCAGGCACACAAGTCGACCCGGGTCGGCAAACACTGCACCCCAGGTGGGCCTACGCTGCGCAGAGCGGTTTGCAGGCTCCCTGCGGTGGTCTTTCAGAAAGAGCAGGGTCCGGTGTCCTGGAGGTACTTGCTGAAAGCCTAACATGCCCAAGGCTCCTGGGCAGGTGAGGGGCTGTCCCAGGCCCTTCTGGGCTTCCTGATAGCTCTGCCAGGCAGTGGGCAGCACCTGTGATGCCACCTTTAGTGGCAGGCTTTGTTTCCCAGCCAGCAGAGCAGCAGGCAAAGGTGGTGGTGGTGGAAGGATTGTTGTGCGTGTGTTTTTTCCTTCAAGGGGGAAGAAATTAAAGATTCTCACACCTCGGCAATATGTTTCTACTTACGGTGTGGTGTGTCTTAGCACCTGACCAGCAGGCGGGTGGGTCGTAAAGCGTCTGCAGGTACCAGCGGGACAGGAGATGGGGACCCCCATGGGGACCCCGGATGGAGGCCACCCTCCTGCCTTGCTTGCAGAGAATCTCACACTTTTCCCTTTTAAAACACATGGTGTTCCTTTTTAATAACGGCAGTGGCTCCAGATTGGGAAGGGGGAGAGAAAAGACTTTTAAAGGCCCCAGCTCTGCGGGAAAGGCGGGGAGGCAGGGAGCAGGGGAGGGGGGCTGTCCAAAAGCCTAGCCCAGGGATCTGCTTAAGGGAGCCTTCTAGGAAGCCCCCCAAACCAGGCCAAGGGCCCTCCCAACCTCAGTGGGCTGTCCCCAGCTGCTTTGCCTGGGCTGGAATGTGTGCATCCTGGTCCCAAATGCCTTGGCCCATTGTTTGGGGAGGCCTGGAGGGAGTGCACCAGCCAGCCAGGGACCCCAGAGCTGGGAGGGGCCCTAATTCCAACAGTTGCTAGGCACTGCAGTGTGCTGGGCCCTCTGGACATGGTGAGCTCATCTCATTCATCTCCCCAGCAGGTAGAACGTATTTTCCTCCCATTTTATGGAGGAGGAAACTGAGAACAGGGGATGGGAAGCCAATTGCCCAGGTGCCCCAGCCGAGATGGGCACCCACATCCCAGGAGGAGAAGGTCTCCCTGTGACCTTTCCTGCTGGAGCTTGGGGTGCGGGACTGGCCTGTCCAGGCCCGCCTGGCCTTGCCCTCTTGCCCTGTCCCCCGCCCAGCCCTGGGAGGGCAGCTGCAGCTGCTGGCAGGCAGGCCACACCAGCCCAGGCCAGGCTGGTGTGGCAGAGGGGCAGTGCCACAGCCAGCCAGGACCCCCCTGAGAGCCCCCTTCCTGGCCTGGCCGTGGGGGTGAGTGGGGGACAGGAGGGCTGTGACCCACCCCTGGCAGTTTGAGAATGGGCCTGGGGTCCGGGCAGGCCTGGCCGTGCCTCCCACCCTGCTGGGGGGGGCCCAGGCAGGAAGCGGTGGGTGGGCCGGGGCAGAGACGCTGGCACGCCCGAGTTCATGCCGAAGGAATTCCGAATTAGCGGGCGGCTGGCTGCCTGGGACCTCCGGGGCGGCCCCCTGGCCCCCCGCCCCCCAGCCGCCCCCGCCTCCTCGGCTCTGGCCGGCACAGCCGGCTCCTTCGCACGGACGCTGAGACCTCCGGCGAGCCCTGGGCCAAGCCCCAAACGCAACTGCGATCCCAGGCTCCAGCAAGACATGGCCCTCAAGCCAAGTTTGCCCCGGAAAATCGTCAGGGCTGGCCCCGGGAACTGTGTCCACCCCATCTCGCCCGTTTGGGGCAGTGAGAGCCAGCACAGGGCAGCCGCTGGCATTTAGGGGCCTCCCAGGGAAACCAGGATCACCCTGTCCTTGGCTGCCAGGGAAGCTGGGCTGCCCCTGCCTCTCTGCCCCCCTGCAGTCCCTTCTTACAGCTGCCCGGTGATCCTTTTAAAATATAAATCCCTCCCTTGCTCAGAACCCTGGAATAACTCCTCCCTGCAGGTCTGGCCCCCTGCTAACCTCCCAGACCTCATTTCCTACCACCCCTGCCCCCCCAGTATCTTTGCACTTGCCGCTCCCACTGCCTAGACACTCTCTTTTGTATATTTTCGTGGCTACTTCTTTCACTTTATTCACATCTCAGCTCAAATGCCGCCTCCCCAGACAGGCCTCTTGGGCCATTACCTGCCACCCCTGATTCGTGCTTTATTTTCTCCCTTACTTGTTCTCCTAGACATTTATTTGTTCTTTTTCCTACTGCTCCCTTGGATTCAAGACCCAAAAGGGCGTGAATTTTGGGTATCTTGGTCACCATTGTGCCCTCAGGTCCTGGCACACTGTAGGTGCTCCTTGAATGAATGAATGAACGAATGAGTGAATGAGTCCTCACTACTACTCTGGGTGGAGGGAGAGGCCCCTTCCCAAAGTCTCAGAGAAGTAAAAGAACTGGGTTAACTTCCAGAGTGACCTGGGGGCATTCGAACCCAGCTCAGCCTGGCTTAAAGATCCCACAAGGTTGTCCTTAAGACAATATTTTCACTCTTCTCGAACAATCTCATGTGGCGGATACCATGATGCCTACTTCCCAGGTGGGGAGACTGAGACTCAGAGGGGCATCAGGGGCTTGAACTGTGCATCCCCTCCCCCTCTTCTGTGCCTTGGTTTCCCCTCGGATAAAAACAGCTCTCTCTTAAGTTCTAATCTTTGGACTAGAAGGCTTCTCCAGTGGAAGGCAGGAGGAAAGGCATCAACCACGGCATCCCAGGGGCCCCTGTGCCCAGCACCCAATTCACACACAACCCAGTTTAGGAAGTCACTTCCCATCTGATCTTCCCAATGGCCCTGAGGACCGTGAGTTTTCTTGTTCCCATTTTGCAGATTAGGAAAACTGAATCGAGGGAAAGCATGATGATGGCAAGTCCCTTTGGATGGGGGTGGGGAGCCTAGAGCTTGCCACGGTCACTTTCAATTCCAGCGGCAGCACAGAGACTGACAAATATAGGTTTAAATAGTGTGCCCTTCTTCTATTTGGTGACCTTAGGCAAAGGACTCGATCTCTCAGAGCCTTGTTTTTTTTTTCATCCATAAAATGAGCAGGATTCTAGTAGGGCTCAGGGCACCCCTTTTTAGAAGTGCCTTCCTCCCCACAGAGACACATGTGTGAGGTTCTGGGGGTAGAAGAGAAAGAACACACAATCTGTTACTTCTAATTGTCAAAAATAAAATGAAAAAAAAAAAAAAGCAGAGTGTGGTGGTTGTCAGAAGTATGTGCAAAGCAAGAGGTACTTGGATCTGAGTGAGGTTTGTAACCACTCAGAAAGCCCTGAGCAAGTCAGTGAGGAAGTGCTTTGGGAGGACCTGAGTTGTGGAATCAGACAGTCCTGAGGCTGAATCTTGGCTTTACCACCAACCTTGGGTTTGTCACTTGACCTAATAGAGCCTCAGTTTCCTTCTCTGTAAAATGGGGACAATCATATAAAGCTCCTTTGCAGGACTACCGTGAGTCTTGGAGGACCTAGGATGGTGGGGGATGCTCAGGGCAGCTCCATCCCAGGCCTGACAGGTGCTCCTCTCTGACCCCAGACACGGCTGTGATCAGTCCCCAGGACCCCACGCTCCTCATCGGCTCCTCCCTGCAGGCCACGTGCTCAGTGCACGGGGACCCACCAGGGGCCACCGCCGAGGGCCTCTACTGGACCCTCAACGGGCACCGCCTGCCCCCTGAGCTGTCCCGAATGCTCAACGCCTCCACTCTAGCCCTTGCCCTGGCCAACCTCAACGGATCCAGGCAGCAGTCGGGGGACAACCTCGTGTGCCATGCCCGTGACGGCAGCATCCTTGCCGGCTCCTGCCTCTATGTTGGCCGTAAGTGGGCCCCCAGGACAGCTAGGGGTAGCTCTTGGGGGCAACATCTCCCTCTGGAGAGGGGCATGAATCATGGGTCCTCTGGTCTGGGGCTGAACAATGGGTATACTGGCATAAGTTGAGAGGTACAGGCCACTAGGGTGGGAATGAGAACCTGGAGACCACCCCCCCACAAGACCATCCTCAAGAGAGCCATGCAGGTGGTCCGGCCAACATCTGCTCTGTCCATCCTCCTTCCGCCCCAAGGTGGGGGCCCCAGCTGGCAGCCAGCAACTCCCCCTTCCACCTGTCCACGGCGCATCCAGACCCTCAGCCCCTGCACCCCCCTTCCCCAGTTCCCCCAGAGAAACCCTTCAACATCAGCTGTTGGTCCAAGAACATGAAGGACCTGACATGCCGCTGGACGCCGGGGGCCCACGGGGAAACCTTCCTCCACACCAACTACTCCCTCAAGTACAAGCTGAGGTTGGTGGTGGCCCTCGGGTGACATGTGTTCCAACCTGGCTGTGTGGCCTTGGCCAAGCCTTCCCTCTCGGAGCTCTGGTGTCCTCTCTGCACTCCGGGGCTGCTGGGGGGAGGTTTGGGGGCCCAAAGGGACCCTCACATGTCCTCCTCCCCTCCTGCCCCTGCAGGTGGTATGGGCAGGACAACACATGTGAGGAATACCACACAGTGGGACCTCACTCTTGCCACATCCCCAAGGACCTGGCTCTCTTCACACCCTATGAGATCTGGGTGGAGGCCACCAACCGGCTGGGCTCGGCCCGCTCTGATGTGCTGACACTGGACATCCTGGATGTGGGTGAGCCCTACCCCCCCGCAAGGCCAGCCTGGCCCACCTGGGATCCACCCCCTCCCCCTCGGCCCCCACCAGCCCAGCCACACTGCAGCTCAGCTGAGGTCTGCGCTGCTGGTTGGGTTGGGGAGAAGCTAGGCATCCACCCGTCCGTCCCCAGCCCCCTGAAGCAGCCAGGATACCCCTACTCTGTGGAGAACACCTGGCCTGGCTGCCTCCCCCTCGACAGCCCAGGTGTGCTGAGGGGGGCCCCCCGGGGAGCTGGGAGGGGGGCGCCCAGGTCTGGAGGCGCCCCAGGAAGCAGCAGCCTGTAGCTGGGGGGGGCGTGCAGGCGGGAGGCAGGAAATGGATGATCTGCGAGCAGAATTGGGCCTAATCTAATTAGGGTGTTTCTCAGCCCCAAGCAGGCCTGTGCCTTAACCCTTTCGGCCCCTCACCAAGGCCTCAGGGGAAGAGGTCAGCCCTCCCTGCTGCCCAAAGGGCTCCCAGAAGGTTCCTCAGAAGTGTTGCAGTGACTCCATCCTCCTGCTTCCCACTTTGCTTCCTTAAGTCCTGAAGCTGCAGTGGGCATGTTCTAAGCCTCAGTTGTCCCTTTGCACCGAGCAAAGCCGTCACGTTGAGGACCTTTGTGAAGTTGGAAAGAGCAGGAGGTGGGCAGTGGGGGGGTCGGGGAGCTTCCCAGGAGTCTGGCAGCCCGAGGGCTCCCTGGTCTCCTGGGCATAATAATAATAATATCATCATGCAGGCAGTGTCTGCTTTTTACATAGTTCCCTGAAGATAGGATTATGTTTCTCCTGTCACAGATAATAATGGTGATAACAGCTAACATTAATTGAGTGCTTCTAGGTGCTGAGTGTTTCCTGAATATTATCTAATGTAATCCACCCGTCCTGAAGGGGGGAGAGGGGAGAACGGAGGCAGGTGCCATCTAAGCCACGTTCCCTGGTGTTTGGACCCAGACAGGGACCAGCCAGGTCCAAAGAGAGCCCGGTGCCTAAGCCCCGCCCCGCCCCCCTAGTGACCACCGACCCCCCGCCAGAAGTGCACGTGAGCCGCGTAGGGGGCCTGGAGGACCAGCTGAGCGTGCGCTGGGTTTCACCGCCTGCCCTCAAGGACTTCCTCTTCCAAGCCAAGTACCAGATCCGCTACCGAGTGGAGGACAGCGTGGATTGGAAGGTGCCCGCACCCACCCCCCAGTTCCGCTCCTCCCTCCTCCTCCTCTCGCCCCTCCCCACCCCAAGCTGCCCCTGCCTCTGACCCTGCCCTTGCCGCCCAGGTGGTGGACGACCTCTGACCCTGCCCTTTCTGCCCAGGTGGTGGACGATGTGAGCAACCAGACCTCCTGCCGCCTGGCGGGCCTTAAGCCAGGCACCGTCTACTTCGTGCAAGTGCGCTGCAACCCCTTTGGCATCTATGGCTCCAAGAAGGCAGGGATCTGGAGCGAATGGAGCCACCCCACGGCTGCCTCCACCCCCCGAAGTGGTGAGCACCCCAACAGGGCTGGGTGGTCCTGGGACCAGCCCCAAACCAGTCTGGGCCTCTGTTTCCTTGTTTCCTTCAAGAGAGCAGAGGTCTCAAACTCTTGGCCCCGGGGGCCAATTGTGGCCCTTGGATCTATTTTCTTGGCCTGTCATTTGGAAAAAAAAAAGTTTGACCTACTGGCAGACTTTTAAAAACAATAAGTTTGAACACAAATATCCTAGATTCCCTAGAAAAATTGTCTAGAAAATGTAATAGGACACAGCCAGAGTTACTCCACAGCCCCCATCAGCAGAGGCTGCCCCTTAAGTCAGGGCCCTTACTCTTTCAGCTGCGCCATTCCCACCTGGCCTGTTTCACCCACATGTACCCCTTCCCCAGCCCCTAAGGGCAAGTAAGTTTGAGACCCCTGCTTCTAAGACGATGGGCTGCCAACTCTCCCTATGACCGGCTTTGATTTCCCCTTCTGTTAAAGGTAGCGGGATGGGATGATCAGGGGCTGGGTCTGATTCCCTTTGCGGTCGGTGGGGGGGTGCGTATCTAAGCCCATGGACCTCCCTTCTCTCCTTTGTGAAATGGTATGAAATCTTATTTGGTACGTCTGGCCTCAGCTTCCCTATCTGGAAAGTGGGGATGATAATCATGCCTGCCTCAGGCTACTGTGAGGGTTAGATGAGAGATAACCCATGGAAAGTGCTCTCATGGTGGGTGCCACCCAAGCGTTTGCAAGTGATAGTTACTGAGACTCCCATCCCCTGCTCCCCCAGTGGTTTCACCTAAGGGAGAGCCCCTTTTCTGAGATGAGGACACCAAGGCCCCAAGGTCACACAGGGATCTGAACTCAGTTCCCTTGAAGTCCTGGCTCATGCTCCTGGGGTGATGGGGAAACCAAGGCCCAGAGAGGATCCCAGAGTCAGGGAGTGGCAGAGCAGGGCTCCAGCCAGTTCCCCAGACCCCATCCCGGGCCCCTCCAGGTTCGGCGGTGGGCGGGAACTAGCACAGCTGGGAGGAGCCTGAGCCTTGGCCCCTGCTCGTGCCCAGCACCTGTGATTCTTGCACGTGAGCCAGCAGGCGGCTGTGTCCGCTGGGGAGGCTGGGGAGGCCAGGGGAAGCCGGCAGGGGCGGTAGGGTCCGGGGCTGTGCCAGGGCCTGTCAGCGGGTCCCCAGCGTTATTTATGACGTGAGGCCGATGTCCTTATCCGCCAGCCTGCTCAGGGCTGGCTGCGGCCAGCGACTGGACCGACAGGCCGGCCTCCCACCTGGCCCTCCTGGCCCACTCCCCATCCAACAGGCAGTACTCTCAGGCCTGTCCTGGGGGCTTGCCCCTCCCCCTCAGAGCCACCTCGAATTCTCTGTCTCCTCTCCCTTCATCTCTCTGTCACTCACTCTCTTTCCCTGTTTCTATCTTTCTGCCTTTCTTGGTTTCTGCGTCCCTACACCCCCAGTGTCTCTGTCCCTCCCTGCTCTGGCTCTCCATCTCTCGAGCCTCTGCATCTCCTTGGCTGTCTCTCATTGCTTTCTCTCTCCCTCTATCTGTCTCTCCTTGCCTCCATCTCTCAGTCTCTGTCTCTCTCTCTCCAGCTCTTTCTCATCAGCGTCTCTCTCTTCCTTCCTCTGCCCCCTGCTCTGTCTGCTTCTCATCCCTTTGGCCCTGGCCTCTCTCTCCTCCCCCCGCCCCCTTCCACTCACACCTGGCTCAGGCCACGGGAATCGGGTTCCTAGAGGGGATGTGGAGGAGGAGCCCCTTCCTTCCCCTGCCCCCTATCTCATTGGGGGCGCAGCTGGGCTGCAGTGCAGGGCTGGGCCGTGGGGAGGATCGGGTCCCGTAGAAACAGGGTGGGAGGTGCCCTAAGGGAACATCCCTCTCCTGCCCGCGCGCGCCCTCTGCCGGGCGCGCCCTGACGCTGCCTCTCCGCCCCCATTAGAGCGCCCGGGCCCGGGCGGCGGGGCGTGCGAGCCGCGGGGCGGCGAGCCGAGCTCGGGGCCGGTGCGGCGCGAGCTCAAGCAGTTTCTGGGCTGGCTCAAGAAGCACGCGTACTGCTCGAACCTCAGCTTCCGCCTCTATGACCAGTGGCGAGCCTGGATGCAGAAGTCACATAAGACCCGCAACCAGGTAGGAAGGAGGGACGCCCGGGCGAGAGGTGGAGGGGTGGGGCCAGGGGGGTAAACGGGCTGGGGAGGTACGTCCTCAGCCCTCAGACACTGCCTCCTTCCTTCCAAGCACAGGACGAGGGGATCCTGTCCTCGGGCAGACGGGGCGCGGCGAGAGGTAAGGGGGGCCCAGGTGGGTGGGCAGGCAGGGAGACAAGGGCCCCTCCTGGTGGCCGTAGGCCACGGGACCTCCACCCTCAGCCCTAGTTACTGAGGTGCAATCCCTTCCTCCATCTCTCTTATCAGCATGTACGTTAACACCTACTGTGTGCCTGCCCCTGTAGCCCTTAGTCTAGTAAGAGCATCCAGACCCCTTTAAAATGTCCAGAGGGGAATGTCATCCTCAGGGATGAATGCACATAACCACCCGGTAGCATTATATGAGCGCCTACTGCATACCGGCCCCGTGCCAAGTACATTACCTGCAGGACACCCCATGGAATAGATATTACTTTTCAGAGGGGAAAACCGGTGCCTAGAGAGGGGCAATAGCCTACCCAAGGTCACCCAGCTGAAAGTGGTGGGACCAGGACCTGAAATGGGGCCTCCTCATTTGCTCTGTGCTCCTGGCCCCTCCCAGGCTCCTTGCTAAGCCTGGCTTCCCCTCTGCCTGCAGGTCCTGCCAGATAAGCTCTAGAGGCTGGGGCTGCCCTCCCTGCTGCATGGAGACCCAGGGGCCACCCCCAAACTGGGGGCCACCTCTGTACCCTCACCTCAGGGTGCCCCAGCCCTCTCGGCAGCAGCTGGGGTGAGCACTCTGAGCTCCGAGGGCCACAACAGCTCTGGCCTCCACGTGAGGTGCACCCCAGTGCGGGGAATGTGTGTGAGGGGGGCTGAGCTTCCCAGAACGCCTGCCAGGGCTGGGGGTGAAAAAGGGTCATTACTCCTCCCTACCCAGGACCACTCCAAAGAGTGTTTTTAAATAAACAAACTATTTAGGTGCCCTGACTGTGAAGGTGAGTTTGGGGCTAGAGTGGCCTAGGGTGGGGGCTGAGGAGGAATCCTGATGACCCTTTGGGATGGGAATCTTGACCTCCCAGAATCTGACTCTCTCCATGATCTGAAATATCTGGTTTCAAACTCCTTGGAGAGTGTGATTCAAAACACCAGAGTTTTTACACTCATGGAGTGGGGGAATCTTGCACCTGCCATCCCTGGCTTTGTGGGATCCCACCGCAGCACAGAGAGACAGTGGAGCAGCTGCAGACGAAAGGTTCTTTAGGTTCTTTATTATGAGAGGTGAGGCGAACTTGAAGAGGGTCAGTGGTCCGGTGGGGCATGACCCCAGCCAGCTGGCAGTCAGGGCAGAGCGCTGTACACCCCATTTCCCATCTCCTCTGGCTTGTCCCTGGGGAGCCACCATCACTCGGCAGATTCTGCATCAAACCTGAGATCCTGGAGAACCTCACTGATCGCTTCCATGGTTTTAATTACCCTACAAGAATGGACGGGAACTATAAATAAAACCCAGATGGGGCGAATTAGCCGCCGCTGCGCAGCTCCAAAGGGGCTGTAGCCAGCCCCGGGCCCTCTTGCCTGCCGCCAAACCTCCAGGCAGCGCTAGCAGCCAGAAGGACCATTTAGGTGCCTGGGAGGATGGGTGGTCCCACGGGTCCCGAGTGGCAAGAGAAAAGGCCATCTTGGGTGGGTGTGTGCCATCAGGAAGGTGTGCAGGGTGACTGTGGCACATGTCTAGTGGGTGTGCACACGTGTGCGCTTGGGGGGCCAAAGGAAGGAACGTGCAGGCGTGTGCCTGGTGGGGCCTGGGCGACCATGTCCAAGCTCGGAGTTGAGCCATGTGAGCAGGATTGGTGTGTATGAGGTGCGCAGCTGTGTCCTGGGAATGCACAGCGAGTCTGGTGTGAAACTGCATAGCCTGTGTGCTGAGGGAATGTGTGTAGTACATCTAGGAGTCACCAAGTGAGTACTCTGGCGTGCACACCCTAAGGGTCGTGTGCAGATCTGCCCTTGCCAGCCCTGGGGCGCACCTGGCTGGGGGTGGGTGCCCAAGGGTGCATGTGCAAATCTAGCATGGTCAGCCCACTGGGAGGCGGTGCTCACTTCATCTTCAGCTGGTGCATCTGCAGGTTGTCCTGCCCAGTCAGCTCTGGCGTCCCCATCAGCTGCAGCAGGGCCACCTAGTTGGGGAATAGGCAGCAAGGAGGATGTCACAACTGGCAGAGGCCACCCCCTGCCCTCCCACATAGTAGGGAGGAAGAGACACTGAAGCACCGGGAAAGGCAGCGCAAGGGTGGGGCCACAGCAGGCGCGAGTCTCAAGGGGCGGTACTTCGCGCAGAAGGAATCTAGGATTACGTTTAGGGGGGCTCCTGAGGAGAGGGGCCGAGTGGGCGGGCCCTAGAATCAGTGCAGAGCGCAACATGGGCATGACCTCATGTAGGCGGGGAAGGGGAACAGTGGTGAAATCTCAGGCAGGGATAGGTGGGCGGGGGCGGGGGTGGGGTGGGGTGGTTGGGTTGTGAGGGTTGTGAAGTTGGCGGAATCTCAGGGACCAGCCGGGGAGTTACAATCCCTAGACTGGGATTGGGTCTCTAAAGCAGCGTGGCCTGGGAATCCCAGCGTAGAGTGTGATGTGGGCGTGGCTTCACGTGGAGTTGGCCTGGGAATGGTAGTGTATCTTGGTCAGGATTGGCTGTAGAGGCAGAGTAGGCTGGGCCTTGGATCCCTAGCGGGAGGAACAGAACCTAGGCTGGGATCGAGGGTGTACCCGGAAGGGGACCTGGCCTGGAAATCCAAGGCCCCCAATCAGCAGGGAGTTGAGTACCTGTCCTGGGGCATTGGGACAAGCCGGGGGGGGGGGGGGGTAGGAGCATTGTAGGGTCGGGGTCTGGGATAGAGTGGGCGTGTCCTGGGACTAAAGATCTGGATGAAAAGTGGGGGCGGACTAGGGGGCTAACCCTGAGACTCTCCAGTGAACTTAGTGGATGACTGAGGTGGGGCAGGAAGAGGGGGTGCTGGGGCGCCAGGGGCGGGGTTCGAGGGAACGGAATCTGGTCCCTCCCCCAAGGGGTGCACAGTGGGCCATGACCCGAGAGACAAGCCGAGGAGTAGGGGGGATACATGGAGGGGGCGGGACCTAACCGTGGCCAGGCGCGTCTCCTCCAGCTGCTGCAGCCTGCGCACGTGGCTCGCGAGCAGCGGCTGCGCTCGGGGTCCGGCTAGCTCGGCCTCCACCGCCAGCACCTCCCGCGAGGCGGCGGCGAAGGCCTGGGTCACCTCGTGTACTGTGCTCCGGTAGCGCGGAAAGTCGTAGGGCGGGCCGCTGCTCAGGTACTGTCGGTGGCCTCTGCGGCAGGCGGGGATCCTGAGGCTACGGCCCCGGCTCTCAGGCCCTGCACCCGCATCGACCACCTGAAAGCCCTCCAAGTGTCCCCTAAACCCCAGAGTGTGGAGGACGTTCTGACTCCCGCAGGGTAACCCGAAACGGGCCCACTCCCGCGCACGCGGAAGGGAGCGATCTGGTCTCCCCGCAAATCCCGCCCCACCTCTGACACCGCGGCCCCGTGGGGACCCAGTTCCTCCCCCGAGGCACGCTCATCCCCGGAGCGGGCTGTGGGCTGACCCCTCCCCTCCCCTATGCCCTCACTTACTCCTCCAGCCGGCGGAAGGCCTGCGCGCGCTCAGCCTGCAACTGGTGGATGCGCTGCACCAGCGCCCGTATCGCGGCATCTTTCTACGGGGCGAGGGGCACGGCTAGGGTATGAAGCCGGCGCCCCCGCGCCTGCACCGCCCGCCCCGCGCCTGTTCCCGCTCGGGCTCGAGCTCACCCAGGGCCACACCAGCTGCTCGCGCTCCGGGGCTCCAGTGGCTCCTGCATCACCGGGCACCGCGGGGACAGCGGACTCTGCCGCGGCCTCAGTGATGATCATGACTGCGCAGCTCTGGTCCCACCCGGGAGCAGGTTGCTCCGCTGCGCCTGGCGCCCCCTGCAGGCCCGGAGGCCTCTGGAGCCAGCTTGTGGCGACCAGCTAACCTGGAGACCCCGGGGGAAGAATGGGGAGCGAAGACTGGGGGCTTCTCAGGCCTGACACCCTCCACCCACCTCCACCCCTGTGCTTGTTCCCGACTGGCGCCTGCCTTAACGTTTTCGACCTTAAATGTACGGTTCTGTATACAGCAAGGCTGTCCTTCGGCTTGTTTCTATGCAGCTATGTCAAAACCCGACTTCAGGGCTTCCCTGGTGGCGCAGTGGTTGCGAGTCCGCCTGCCGATGCAGGGAACACGGGTTCGTGCCCCGGTCCGGGAAGATCCCACATGCCACGGAGCGGCTGGGCCCGTGAGCCATGGCCGCCGAGCCTGCGCGTCCGGAGCCTGTGCTCCGCAACAGGAGAGGCCACAACACTGAGAGGCCCGCGTGGAGAAAAAAAAAACAAAAACAAAACCCGACTTCACTTCCTCACATCCCATCCCCACTAATATAAAGAAAATTGAATCCAAGAAGTGATAGCCATCATCTAATGCCACAAGGTTGTGACAAGAGTGGGACTTGAACGCAGGTTCTGACACTGGAGAATTCCAAGTCACTGGCACCCACAGGTTCTGTGTGAACTGCTTTGAAGAGGGGGGCCTGTGCAAAAGGCCCTAAGGTGGGAGTCAGTGCAGGGCTGAGGTCAGGGGTGGGGGGTGGGAGGGTTCCTATTAAGTACAGAGAAGACCTGGGAGCTGGACATACACTGCCTAGTTTGAGCTTCAGGAAGCCTCCTCCTCCAGGAGTGGACACAGGGTAGACCAGAAAGATGGTGGTGGCCTGGCCTTAGGGAGGAGGGGGCAACTGACAAAAATGAAACTCAACTGAGGCCTGAAGTGAGAGCCTTTAGCTGGTACTCCAGGTCTCAGCTGTTCTCAAGCATCAGTCTAGGCCTGGGTTGTCACCTACAGGAAGCCCCAATCACCCCAAGACAAATAAAAGCATGGCGTTGTCAGGGCACTACAAGCCCTCACCTGACAGACATCAGTCTTGGGTGGGACTCAGGAGCTCCTAAAGGTCAGTCAAAATTGAGAACAGGTATTTTACGCTAGGTGGGGTGTTCCTTCCTACCCCGCCATCCACCTACACCCAAACACCTCCAGGCCCCAGATGTGAGGGTTGTTAATGTGCCTGACCAGGTCCCACCAGTCCCTAGGCTGAGGTTTTTATTCCCATATTACAGATGACAAAATCCAGATGGTTGGGCTCACTAGGTTATGTGGCAGAGAGCCAGGAGTGAGACTTGCCTGTGCTGTGGTTATGACAACTTTAGACATGAAGGGCCGAGACCATGGTCAACTTTACAGGTAAGACAACTGGAACCCAGGACAAAGGACCCCCAAGAGCTATGAAGAACTGAGTGACAGGAAGTCCCTAAAGGAGATGCCCGCACCTCAGCAACCTCCCCACTGGACAGACCAACCACATGGACAACCAGTTACTGCTCCAGTCAACGAAAGGGAAACTTTACTGAGGCCCCAGGGTCATGGGGCTTAGGCAGGAGGCCACCCTGTGGGCAAAGAAGAAGCCGGTGGAGGGGCCTTATTTGACCTTCTTCTTGGGGCGCAGGTTGTTGGTGTGGCCGCACTTCTTCTTGCGGCAGTTGACAGCACGGGGGTGCAGGCGAGCGTAACACCTGTGCAAGGACACGAGCGAGTGGTGAGGGCACATCCCGACCCCCAGCAGGGCCAGCCCACACCCCCAACCTGAAGAGTACATACTTGCGGCAGATCATCTTGTCGCAGTTGTATTTCTGAGCGAGCTGGCGAAGGGAAGGCTCGATGATGCCACCTCGCAGACGAAGCACCAGGTGCAGGGTGGACTCTATAGGAAACGAAGGGCAGAGAGAGACAGTGACTGAGCCTAGGCTCACCACGTCAGTCCCACAGGTGCAGGGCAGCCTCCAGTGCCCTGCAGACCAGAGCTTCTCACGTGTTGACAGGGACACATCAGAATCCGTTGCGTGTTCTATGTGTAGATGGACACACCAGCCCAGCCCAGCCCACAGAACCTCCACCTTGTCATTTCCCACCAGTCCTCAGGGAGTCTGAGACTAATATATATATACATCAACAGTGGTGTCCATCTGGGTTTCCCCAAGGGCAAGGCAATTCTAAGTGGTGCAAGGACCTTTTATTTTCCTAGGTAAGATATTTAAATCTTTTGCTGCAAAAAGTGGTGCCGATTTTCTTTACAGTAATCACATTGAGAAACACAAACACAAGAATTAAAGAAAAAAAGTGAATAAGAACATGAGAAACCATCGCCATTTGGAAATCCTGGTGGAGATCTTGAGATGCTTTCCAGCGATGGAAACAGTACCTTACAAAGCAATACTCCCTAGCCCTATCTGATCCTCACCTTAAGAACAATCCTCCTCTACAGCCCCCTCCCGGTGCTGAAGAGGCTGTCAGCTACCCATCCTGGGTCCTAGGCCCCACTGAGGTCCTGTCTAGCCACCCCACCCTCGTACCTTTCTGGATATTATAGTCTGACAGAGTGCGGCCATCCTCCAGCTGTTTGCCCGCGAAAATCAGACGCTGCTGGTCAGGTGGAATGCCTAAGAAGAGAGCACTTCAGTTACTAAAGCTCTGGCAAGAGTACTACCAGCAGATCTCCCCTCCCTCCACAGGGCTGTGCCAGGATCACCCCCAAACTGTCAAAAGGGAAAATGAGGTAGAGAGGACAAGCTGCCTTCCCAAGATCACACAGGGGAAGCACTGGCATGGCTGAGATCTGTCCAAGCACCCATTCCACAAGGGACAGCAGATCCCCAGGGCTGAAGGGCCCCCATTTTGCGGAGCACCCAGCCCCAACCCAACTCACCCTCCTTGTCTTGGATTTTAGCTTTGACATTCTCAATGGTGTCACTGGGCTCGACCTCTAGAGTGATGGTCTTGCCCGTCAAGGTCTTCACAAAGATCTGCATCTCTGCGTCTGCTGGGGAGACAGGGGGAAGAATGGCCGGATGGAGTAGTGAGCACTGAAGGTCTGAGCAGCCCGAGCTCACAGGCTGGCCAGCCTTAGTTCCTGACAGCCCTGTGCCGGCATCGACTTCAAATGCAGGCCCGCCCCAGTGCCTGTTTCCTTCCACCCTCCAAGCCGGCAGCTTCGTCTTTAAAGATGGAACGAAAAGTTCAGGTCTACGGCACCACGTTGCCAAGAACGGTCTGGAGGTCCCATCCTTCCTCTCCTCCGCCAGCCCCCAGTCTGCCTGCAGCCGGGGTGGGAATCCCATCTTAGTAGCATCCCCCCAACACACAAGCTTTCCTCCCTACAGTCCCTTCTCCTTATTCCAAGCTCAGACACCCAAAACTTTGGCTTCCTTCTGGGTTACGCCCTAATCCTCAGACCACATTTCCTGCCTTTGATCCAGTCCATAAGTACCAACTGCCAACCACGTGCCTGATACTTGTTTACACAGGTATTTCCGTTTTTTCACTTTCCAAGTCTAGAAAACGGCTGCTACTACCAGACTCTACTTACAGATTTAGAAAAGGAGACAGAGACCCAGCTCAAAGGCTTAATATTTTTAAATGGACTGGCAGAGTGTCTGCCACGAGACAAAGTTACAGTTAATACTCCTCCCCATTAAATCGGATATGCCCCGAAGGACACATCCTCGCCCCAAAGCCTCGTCAGATAGCTAGGGCCGGCGGAGCGGGCAGGCTCCTCTTCCAAAGGCCGGCTTCCCTCCCATGGCCCACTTCGGGCTCGGAACCCGGCCCAGTGCGCCTTGCTAAGCCGCCCCACAGGGCCTAGCTCGCCTAGACGGATTCCAGGCCGCCCCCTCCGCTGCCTGGGTCCCCGCAGGCTACCGCGCAACCCTACACAGGCCATCACCGACCTGCTCCGTCGTCTCGTTGACGAGAAAGAGAGCGGTTGAACCGGAAACCGCCGATTCGCCGCCGAGGGCGCCTGCGCACCGAGCACGCTGCGCGTCTGCGTCACAATCCGCGCCGCGCCGCGCCCCGCCCTCGGCCCCGCCCCGCCCCTATGCTGGGTGCGGGCGCACGAAGCCGCGGTGCCTGTGAGCGGCCGATGCCCACCTGCCTCGGGGTGCGAGCTCCGCCCGTCGGGTCACGTAGGAAATGCCGCACCTTTCCTGGTGTTTCTGCTCGCTGTTTCCAGGCCGCCTGAAGACTGCCCGCACGTAGCGGGTGCTCCGGAAATATTTCAACAGAGTAGGGGAAACTGTTTTGTGCTAAAGTGGAGGCATTAAGCAGAGGGTCTGCAGGTCCAAGACGCAAGGGTCGAGGCAGGAGGCGGCGTAAGGGCCGAAAGTGTTGGAGCCACTGGAGGCCGGCCGCTGTGCACAGATGGATTAAAGGGCGGGTCCGTACAGGAGCACGGAGAGCAGGTGGGGCTGGTGCATTCACCCAAGGAAATGGGGTGGGACCCAGGGTCTGTTTAGGATATAAGACGGAGGCGACTCAAGGATGGCTAAAAAGTGCTGGGCGCCGGAAAGCGGTGAGAACTGAGAAGTTACCTGTGGGTTTGGCAGCGTACCTTATTTCCTTGAACACTTCGCGGCGCCCCCTATGGACCAGGCAAAAGCAGACACTCTGAAGTCTGGGAAGAGGCCTTTAATAACACAATTTCTAAGTGCTCCAAAGATGAGGGGACTCTGTGAGAGTGTCTGATGGGGAATGAGACCCCCAGCTCCTTGAGGAGCCCACCTTAGGGCTGAGATTTGGAGGAAGAGTTACTCAAGGAGGTAAAGGAATAATGTGGGCACTGGGAATAGCACATTTGAAGGCCTGGTTGGTGACAGGAAGTGGGGTTATTATGGTTGCCACCACTGGAGACTCCCACTCAAAGCAGAGCAGCCCACTTCTTTCCAGCTCAATGGTGCCTGGCTGTCCATAACCATCCTGTCCCACATCCAGCACTTGCCCCCATTCTGGACTGCTGGGCCCAAGGATGGAAGGAAGCCACTGCTAGGTGCACCCTTCCCTTTTTAGTAACAGAGTCTTTTTATTGATAACTTCCCAACAGCATCTGTAAACATCGGGTACAAAAATATTCTGCTTAACTCTGTTCTCCAAGGTGGCTTGGCTTGCTCCATGGAGGCCCCAGGAGAAGCCTGCTGGGCCCTCAGGGTCCACACCGCTGGTCCGAGAAACAGGGCCTAACCAGGCTCGGTGCTGAGGGGATGGCTAATCTCTGCCTTGAGGCTTCTACAACTGTCTCAGAAACCTCTTTGAGATAATGATTGGAGAAAGTATTCAATACTGTCATTGAAGGAAGGGGCAAGGAGACCAGAATTAGTAGGCACAGGGGTGGGCTGGGGTGAACTCAGACATGACAGTGCTTGGCCACCTTGAGGAAGTCCTGACCAGGGTGCTGGGGCAGAGGACATCTGGCTCTGGTCTCTGGGAACCTTTAGGTGTTGCTCAGAGCAGACCTCAGGCCTGGCTCTGCACCCAACCCGACTCCAGCTGGACTGGTCATCCCCTGGCCTGGCAGAGGGGTCTACAGAAGAGAGATGTTCTCAGTGAGGGAGGAGGAGGAATGATAGATCCCCAGGAATTCCATACCCCAGGGAGGGAGCCTTGTCCCCCAGTGAGCCCCAAATGACAGAGTAGGGTGGCAAAGCTGACTGTCTCAAGGCAGGGTTACCCACTGCCACCTCAGACATCTGGGCAGTGGCACCGCTGCTGCCCTGAGACCCATCCGAGCTCCTGGGAGTAGGGCTACTCGCCCGGCGTCTCCTCGTCATCTGTATGGCTGTGGCCATTGATGGCAGGGGAGCCGGGCCGGACGTGGGACAGGTCCTCGAAGCCGGGGCTGAGGGAGGGCGAGACTGTGTCGGGGCTGGTGTCACATGAGCCTGTGCTCTGTTCCGAGGTGGCAATGGTTGTTGTGGTGCTGGGCGGGATGGGGTCTTCATCCTCGTCTTCCAGGAGGGACGCCTCCGGGATGTCTGGGGGAAGGAGGCCCAGCAGCTGGCTTAGTCACCATGCCAGGCACTGTGATGAGGGATTAACTGGGCCCAGGACCCCTGACAGCTACCCCCACCCCATGGGACATAACTCAGTTCATTTTACAGATGAGGAAACCGAGGTCCAAGCAGGTGAGAGGCCTCTCTTTAAGGTGAGGTAAGGTAAAGACGCAGGTTCTCTGGGGTTAGGCCTACGCGGGCCCTGGGGGCAAGTCTGAGCCTGGCTCTGCCCTCTTGACTGTGTCACCTGGGCCAGGCCCCTCACCTGCCCGTGTCTCAGCTCCCTGCTCTATAAACTGGGAATGATGGCATTGCCTTTATGCCTGTGGTTGTCAGCGGCCCTGGAGTGGGGAGCTGTTGGCCCATTCTGCAGACTGGGTAAACTGAAGCTCAGCATGGAGGACGCTGTGCTTCCTCTGACAAGTTACGGCCCCTCTGGGCACAGTCCCCACCTCATAGGTGTTTGTGGGTAGCAGCCTGGCTCGTAGGGGTACGTGACATTCACTGGGCTAAGGACTGTCATCATTCTTGTCCACATTCCCTCGTGTCACCTCCCCCAAGGGAGGAGGCTCTAGTCCCAACACCTGCTCCGCCGGTTGCCAAGAAGATCAGGCCAGCACTCCCGCCCCTGCCCCAGGTCTTACTGGACCCACTGCCCACTAGGGCCCGGGCTTGGTGTCAGCCCTTGAGGTGACCTTCCAGAAGCCAGCCCTGGGCTGAGGGCCCTGGCATCCAAGGGCACAGAGCCCAGAAGCGGGATGTAGGAGCTCTGGGTGACACTTACGGCTGAAGGCCTCCGGGTGCTGCCTGGCCAGCTTCCCTTTCAGTGTCCTGCAGGGGAAGGGAAGGCACACAGGGCTGAACCTGCAGAGTGTGCAGGCTGGGCCCGGTGCAGGCCAGGAACCTCCCCGTCACTGCTTGTCATACTCTGCTCCAGGGCTGGAGGTAGGACTGGGCGCTCAGCCAGCGGACCTCCCACCCCCAGGACGGATGGCAGCTACCCAGCTGTCACCCAACTTCTGCGTGTCCTTGGTGCTGGCTCTGCGTGCCGGCTGGGCCCTCTACCTGCAATGCCTCATGTCTAAACCTCTTCTACCGGGACAACCTTCCAGGAAGCTTCCCTTCCCCTTGCCTCAACAGGCACGCCTCTGGGTGACTTGTCCCAGCCTGTCTCTCCATCCCCGGGGTGAGGATGTCTGTGGGGGCCAGGAGTGCTGACTATCCACACCCCAAACACCGAACACTGGCACTCACTAAACTGAGCTTCACAGAGAAGCACCTGCTTCCCTTTTTAACCTGGTTTTTCCTTTTTACCTGAAGTAACGCAGTTCTGTTTACAAAGAATTACAAAAGGCTCTTCAGAGCAGTCTCTCACCCTTGACTATGGCCAGCCAGCACTGTCCCCCCCAAAGTACCACTGCTGCTGCATCCCTGCCTGGGTGGACACACTTATCTCCTTCCTGAGTGACACAGATACACACAAAAGGTGTCAACCCTTGTGGTTCCTACTCTACTCCCACCCCTGCAACACCACACGTGGGCAACCAGCCTGGTGAGATGCCCCAGAAAAGATACGCTTTAGATAAAGGATTTATCCGGCCTGTCTTGTGATTTCTGCACAGAGCATGCTCCAAGGAAACATGTTGCCCTCAATCTGTGGCACCTGCTCTGCCAGCAGATGCGGCTGCCCCCGGAAAAGAAGAAGCGGCACAGTCAGCCAGAAATACAGCTGTAGTGCCAGCTTGTTCCAGGCCTCGGCGCCCCAGCAGCAGTTGTTAACAGCAGCAGTGGTGACAGGAGCTCCGGGGGCCGTGTCAAACATTCTATGTGGCTGGGGACTTGGACATCGTCTTTCTCTGTCCTCATGGAAACCAGCTTGAGAAGGACCCGCAAAACCTGGCAATCTCATTTTCCTCTTGAGAGAAGTCCTGGGTGGAGGCCAAGGGGGACATAAGGCTAGCCTTTCACTGTCTGCTCCTGCCTGCCTTTTGCATTATGGGTCTGGCACTATGTTGCATTTTCAAAAAAGGAATAAAATCTAAATTCAGAAACTCCAAGATTTTCAGATCTTCTCTAATACTAAGTGTGCAATGAAGCCTCCTAAAACAAGCTGAATCTCCCCACCGCCCTGCTATGTGGAGAGGACGGCCCTTATTGAAAAGAGGAGGAACCCTCTTTTCAGGCTCAGAGGCTCAGAGCAGGAGGCAGAGACTGGAGAGCCAAGCACTCACCTGATCCTGCGGAAGATGCTGTCCAGGTCCCGTTTCATCTCCACCAGGGTCCTTGTGTGGTGCAGAAAGCGCTCGCTCATCTGCTGCAGGCGGGCACTTGACAGGTTGTTGAAGTTGAGCAGCATCTCGTTTGTCTTCTCAAAGCGGTCCAGCCTGGTGGCGGAAAAAGGGCACCGACTCCTCTGCTCAGCCTCCAGGTCCCTGCCAACTGATCCTGCTAGGCCCTTTCCTGCTCCATGACCTTTGCGTAGACCATTCCCTTGTCTTGTGGAGCTCTACCTGGTGTTTGAGCCAGCTAGCAAACTCCTATTCAACTTTCAAAACCCTACTCAAAAATCCTACTCAAGTGTACCCTTCTCATGTAACCTTAACCCTCTCCCTCAAGTAGACTCTTTGACACTCTGACTCCCCTAGCCCCAGCTTCTTTCTCTTGCCCAGCCCTGACACCCCGAGACCAGGAAGGTTCAAGTCTGATTTTGTCTCCCCTCGGCCTGGGAGTTCCCCAGGGTCAGGTCTGAATCTGAACTAAAGACCTAGGAGGGAGATGGGTATGCTGAGACCCAGACATATCCAGCACCACTGTCACAGGGCAAGAAAGGTAAGGTATCAGGTCTGTGCTGGGTTGTAAATGGAAGGAAGAGCCTTTGGCTTAAAGACACAAAAATAAAGCCCCAGGAGACCATGTTTCCCCCGGAAGGTTGTGTCAGCCCTTCTTCCCCACAGAGCAGGCCGGAATTAGGGTGAGGCTATGGTGGACACAGTGCCAAGCCCCAAAGAGGGCAAAGGCCATTCACAGCCCTTCCAAGTGACCCTGGGTGCTCCACAGAGACAGCCTAGGCTCTGAGAGAACAGGTTCCCAACAGGAAGTGAGCCGACTGGCTCCCTTAAATCCCCCAGCAGTTCCTTCCTTATCCCCCTCAAGTCTCCCCACCCCAGGCCTCGGGAAAGGAGCTGCTGTGGTCCCCGCCAAACTGTCCGCAGCTGCGAAACTGTCCCAGAGCCCTGCTTCCTGTGCCAAGGCCTCGCCTCCAGACCAGGAAGGAATTTACTTTGGAGCCAGCCAGCAGATTTGCTCATTTCCTTCATTTTATCACCAGTGTGGGCCCGGGGTAGAGGCGGGCAGGGCAAGAATGCTGGCCAGCAAGTGGATTCCTTCCCATACCGGGGGCCCAGGGCCCTTGGCTTCCACTCACATGTTCTTCTGGGCCAGGATGATGGCGTTGACATCGTCCGCATTCACCATGCTCAGGATGCGGCTACAGAAGACCCTCGAGGCCGAGTCCGGGGGGTCCATCTCTTCCTCCTCCTCCGCTGCCTGAAACAGGCGGGAAGAAAGTGTTTTCAGTCTGCATCAGGAAGTGGGGGGAGGTGGGATGGGGGGCTGGGAACCCCACAGGCCACCTGTCCGTAAGTGGGTCATGCCACCTGAGCCTCAGCTTTGTCATGCCAGGAACTCGGGGGTGTTTCGAGAACCACAGGAGTTCCTATTTATAACTTGCACCCAAGCACATCACAATCCCATCACCCCTCCCACCTCCACACGTGCCCCTCTCCACGTGCCCAAAGCTACAGGCACCTTCCTCCTGCATAGACCTGCCCCCTCCTCCTGGCTGCCCCCTCAAATCATCACCCCCTCCAATGCCTCTTCTCCCAAGAGGTCTTTGATGACTACCCCTATTCTGGTCACTCATCACTTCACCTTTTTTTAATTGCTCCACTGTCTCATCGCTTCCTGAAATTATCTTAGTTATCAGTTAACCCTTTTGCCTGTCACCCCCACAGCAATATTAGCTCCAATAGAACAGAGGCGTGTGTTCTTTCTTGCTCGCTGCTCTGTCTCCAGAGCCCAGCCCAGAACCTTGTTCACAGCAAGAGATTGCCTGAATTTAGTTTTATGAAGGCAAACGGAACCTTTCAAACTCAGCTCTGAAGCTAGACTTATATCAGCAAGTTAAAGCCAAGAATTTCAGGCACTGGCAGCCAGGCTGTGGGCCCCAGCAACCCAGATGGCTCTGTGGCTCTTGGCTCCCAGCTTCCCTGGCACACAGATGCTATCCCAGCAGGTGGGGACTTCCTGGACCATGCTAGGGCAGGAGGGACCACAGCTTCAGCACTGACCCTCCTAAGGAGGTTCAGGAAAAACCCAGAATCCTGACATAGCTTGGCTCTGTGGTCTGCACGTTTAATCGCCGACTGAAAGGCCCACTTGCAATTGGTTAAGGTTCACACACAGGATCAGGAAGGGCTTTCAGAGCCCACTTAACTACCCTCCTCTTTATTGAGCACCTACTGTATACTAAACAAGACACCGATTTCAAACCCTGGCAATTGTTACCATCCTTATTCATACATGAGAAAATTGAGGCTCAGAGACTGAGGAACTAGGCAGTTGTCACACAGCCAGTGAACATGGGTCACAACTCAAACACCCACAGACCACAGGATCCACAAATATGTGACTCTGACGTTCAGTAGCTACCTGTGACAGGACAGCTGCTTCTTGCAGCACCTGATTCCTGCCAGACTTCTGATTGTTTCCAGAAATAAACCTGAAATATGGATTTCTTTTTCCTGTGAAATCGCCTCATTTACAAATGTTAGCAACTAATATTTTTCTTACCCCAACACCATAGAGGCCAAGAGTACGTATCTATGCCCAGAATCTGGCTATCAGTTTGCAGCCATTACGTGCCTTCTGGAGATAAACTGCCACACCTGACGAAATCCACCACCTCCCCAATCACCATGTTTGAGCTCCTTCTATGTGCCAGGCATGGACACCCACACCCTCCACATTTCCAAAGAAGATCATGTATAAAGAGGACACTTGGGCTCTCAAAGGACAGAATGTGGCGGGAAGCCCACAGCTAGAGCCTGGCAGGTGCAGGATTTGGACCTGTGGGAAATGGTTCTGCTACAAAGATGGGCTCTTTCCTGTCTCTGGCTCCCAGATGTGAGGGCTGAGGGATTCAAGGCACACTCCCCCACCAGCTGCCTCTCACAGGAAGCCTTCCCTGACTAACATACACATACAGAGTGGAAATGACCCAGCATGGGCTCTGATCCTTGCTCCAAATATATTTATGGGGGACACACGCAGAAAGGGAGACTGTGTGACCTTGGGAGAGTCACCTCACTTCCTAGATCCATTTTCTCACCCAGAAAATAGGTATAACAAAGAATCTGAATCTCACAATGCTGTCTGTGGGGACTAAAACCAATAGTGCTAAGAGGTGCTGGGCTCGAAGCAGTCAGTTTCTCCAAGTGGAGTGTGAAGAAATCCTAGGACAGGGCCCGGGAATCAGTATTCTAATGAGGGTCTCCCTAGTGCTTCCAAGAATACAGAACAAACACTTATATAGCACTTCATTTAATCCTCAGTCTCCCCTACAAGGGCATCTCCGAGGGCACCAAAGGCTCCCAGGGGTGGGCTCAGGTCACACACCAATACGGAAAGGCGCCGCAACTCCACCCAAGTCATTTAACAGAATTTAATTTGGCTGCCCAAGCTCAGCAAAACCCGCGAGGCGGGGCGGGGTTCACAAATCCCCTCATGCCCCGCCCCTGTGAAGCGGGAAACTGAGGCCCAAGCAGGTCAACGCCCGATTCCGGGAGACACGGCACAGCCAGAACACAGGCGGCCCCAACTCCCGCGCCTCGGATCCAGACTCGGCCCATGGCGCCGCCCGCGCGTCCACCGCGCAGACGGGGAAACTGAGACCTGTGCGCAGGAGGGGTGCCCAGATGTTGCCAGCGGCGCGCCCCACCCCGCTACAACCCGAGAACCGCGCCCGACCCGGCCCGGCTCCCCAGAGGCCCCTGCGTCCCCAGCCCCACCCCGAACTCGGCCCCGGCGTCGGTGGCAGCAGCACCTGCACATCTGGCGGCCTTGCTCGCGCTTCCGGGATGGCGCCCGCGCCGCCGCGACGTCACCACGCACCATGCGTGCGAGCGCGCGTGGCGGCGACGTGCCCTGGGCTGACTTGCGTGCGTGGAGGCGCGGCAGGAACGGGTGGAGCTTAGATGCAGCTTCTATTTGCGGGTGCATCACAACAAATAGCCAATCAAGCAGTCTCTCTCGCGCCTGCGTAGTTTCCAAAGCCTGAGCTCCAAGGCAGCCCGGAAGGGGGGAGGGGAATGGGGAGGGAGGATGAAACAACCAATTTTATAGATAGTAAGACTGAGGTCCGAGAGGGGCAAGCATTCCCACAGGGTCATGTAATCCTCGAGTGGGCTGTGGTGGATCCAGACCCAAATGTTCTGCTTTCCAGGCTGGGAATCAGACTCACTCGGGTTCAAACACCCTGCTGCGTTTTTGGTAACCTTTTTCTGGGCCAGGATCCTGCATTGCATTTAGTCATGTCTCCTTGGTCTCTTCCACTCTGTGACAATTCCTGTCTTCCTTAATCTTTCATGACCTTAATACTTTGAAGAGTACTGGTTTTGTAGAACACCTAACATTATGGGTTTGTTCAATATTTCCTCATGATTAGTCTGAAGTTGAGCAGCTTGGGAAAGAATCCCACAAAAGTGATGTTTCCTTCTCAATGCATCATATCAGGAGACACTGGGATGTTGATATGTCTCATTGTTGGTGACGTTAACTTTGATTACTTGCTTAAGGCAGTGTCTACCAGCTTCTCAACTGTCAAGTTACTATTTTCCTTTGCAATTAATAAGTATTCTATGGGGGGATACTTAAGAGACCATGTAAATACCATTGGTGTTTTGGTCTTGGGTTTTTTTTGTTGTTGTTTACATATTTTTCACCCTTTAGTTTTAGCATCCATTCATGGCTCTTGGCAGCAATAATGATTACTTACTATGTGTTTGCATAATGGTGATTTTTAATTTAATTATTAATTGGAATTTTGTTGTAAACAAGAGCTGTCCATTCTTCTCAATTATGTATTCAAGTATTTATATCACTATGGAGTCATGAGTATTTATTTTATTCTGTGCCTTATAATTAATTTCTATATTATTTATTTTACTGCCCCTTTAATTTAGCTCCTATGTCTTTTTAATATGTCTCCATGTTTCTGTGAGTACGTCCTTACTTTTGGCATCACAAGATGTTCTGTGCTTGCTTTGGAATATCCCTGGAATCAGCCATTTCTCCAAGGAGCCTGGTTCTGCTTCTTGGAGAATGGTATTTAGAGACCAAGATCTGGGTGCTGGGTGTGCTCACTGCTACCCACGTATTATTGCTTAGAGACCCTCTCAGCAGTCAGAGCTAGGAAATACATGTATGTCTACTAACCCATGCATATACACATACACATCTATTTTTAGTTCTGTATCTGTTCCCTTGTGTCTCTACTGAAAACCATGAGTTCATACTGAGATGAGGATGCGTTAAGTGAGATAACCCAAGTTAAATGCATGAACAAAATGGGACAAATAGTAATTGCTTGATAAGTGTTAGCAATTATCATTAGTTTCTGGGGTCTTATGAAATGTATGTTATATATTATATGTCTGATTTTTCTGTGTCTCAGTTTGTTAACTGTGAGTCTGGGTGAACCTAGCATCTGCCTCTTAAGGTTGCTAAGAGCTTGAGAGATACACACATACCCTTGGGCACATGGAAGACTCTTTGAGAGCCCTGGAATTGGCATATCTGAGTTCTAATTTCAGCTGTCACATCCTAGCTGGGTAGCCTTGAGCAAGTGGCTTAACCTTAAGAAATCATGCAGGTTAATTCCTTACAAGAGGGGTCCCCAACCCCGGGCTGTGGACCAGTACTTGTCCTCGGCCTATTAGGAAACAGGCTGAACAGCCGGAGGTGGGCGACGGGTGACCAAGCAAAGCTTCATCTGCCACTCGCCATCACTCCCCATCACTCACATTAGCACCTGAACCATTGCTGGCATTACAGCCTGAACCATTGCCCCACCCCACCCCCATCCGTGGAAAAATTGTCTTCCACGAAACCAGTCCCTGGTGCCAAAAAGGTTCGGGACTGCTGCCTTACAACAGAGTTTGGCCCATTGTAAGCCCTTGGTAAACTGAGGGTAAACTCTATTATTACTCTCACACTCTCCTGCCTTCATTCATTGAAAAGTAAACGATGATCAGGAATCTTATACATTCTTATAGTTCAACCAACAGTTTTAAAAATTGTTCAGTAAACCCTCTAGCCATATGGGTTCAGTAAACCCTCTAGTCATATGGGTTTGGCCCATATTCTGAGAATCCAGAAAATACTCAGTCCCTGCCTAGCCTTGGAGGATGAAGGAGAGTCTGACACAGACAATCCCAGCCCTGAAGGGAACAATGTTGGGTTAGGGGGAGGAGAGACTCAAGGCTGGAGGAACCTACAGAGTGGGGTTTGAGGACTTCTGAAGGCCAGGAAGCAGGTACATCTGGATGGAGTTTTGAGGTAGGATTAGGAGTTTTGCAGGTGCTGACAATCATTCAGGACTGAGGGGATCACAGGAGCAAAGACAGGATGGTGGGAAAGCACATAGTGTGGATTTGATCTTTTAAGAATTGTGGAGCTCCATGAGCCAGACAGCAGCCAGTGCTGAGAAGAGCCTGGGTGGCGGCTGCTGGGAAAAGTAGAACTGTGGCTCTGTCTGCATGGCTTTGCCAAGCTGTAGCAGAAGAGGCCCAGACTGGAGAAACCAAGCTTTTCAACGGGTCTCTTGGGCTCTGTTGGAAGCCAGGGAACAATTACGAGGGTCCTGGAAGGGGTGGGGGCTGCACATTGAAGCCAAAAGGGACTTGGCTGGTCCAAAATGTTTTCCTTTTCTATTTTGTTTAAATTTTATTTATTTATTTTCTTGGCTGTGTTGGGTCTTTGCTGCTGTGCGTGGGCTTTCTCTAGTTGCGGCGAGCCAGGGCTACTCTTCGTTGCAGGGCGCGGGCTTCTGATTGCGGTGGTTTCTCTTGTTGCTGACCACGGGCTCTAGGCGTGCGGGCTTCAGTAGTTGTGGCACATGGGCTCAGTAGTTGTGGCTCGCGGGCTGTAGAGCGCAGGCTCAGTAGTTGTGGTGCAGGGCTTAGTTGCTCCGTGGAATGTGGAATCTTCCCAGACCAGGGCTCGAACCCATGTTCCCTGCATTGGCAGTCGGATTCTTTTTTTTTTTTAATTTTATTGATTGATTGATTTTTGGCTGTGTTGGGTCTTCATTGCTGTGCGTGGGCTTTCTCTAGTTGCAGTGAGCGGGGGCTACTCTTCGTTGCGGTGCATTGGCTTCTTATTGCTGTGGCTTCTCTTGTTGCGGAACATGGGCTCTAGGTGCACAGGCTTCAGTAGTTGCAGCACGCGGGGTCAGTAGTTGTGGCTCACGGGCTCTAGAGCGTAGGCTCAGTATTTGTGGCACACAGGCTTAGTTGCTCCGCAGCAGGTGTGATCTTCCCGGACCAGGGATCGAACCTGTGTTCCCTGCATTGGCAGGCAGATTCTTAACCACTGCGCCACCAGGGAAGTCTTCCCCCCCCCACCTCTTCTGACTGGGCAGCCTTCCTTCCTCCCCGCCTTCCTTCCTTCCTTCTTTCCACAATGATTTCCCTGAATACCTCCCCCTGTTTTGTGCCATGCAGTATGTAGGCCTCAGGACTAAAACAATAAGAAACAATGTACCCTTCTCAGATTTTGGGGGTCTTCCAGTCTACCGGGTGAGGCAAAAGTCAACTGATGGCACAGACACAAGTGAATCAGTTATGAAGTGGAGGTTCATTTTACCAAGACTGCAGCCAATCAGGACACCTGGCCTTACCATGGGGAGGTCAGGGATGGCTTCCAGTAGGAGGTGACCTCAGAGCACCTATCTGACAAGTTACCGCCAAAAGCCAGTTACCTTCTCCAGTGTTAGCTACCTCCAAAAGCCAGTGTCCTGCTCATTTATTCATTAATTCATTCAATTATTCATTCATCTATTGAACTCCCATAGGGCCTTAAGCATCATTCAAGGAGGTGGTGAGGACAAAACAGACAAAATTCTTTCCAGGCTGGAGCAAGATGGGGGGAAGGGGGGAAGCAAAAGAATGAACAAGATCATTCTGGAAGGGGGTAACTGCTGGGAAGAAAATAAAATAGAGTGAAAAGGAGTAAGTGCCCCCTCTTTCAAAACATGAGCCATAAAAACCCTTCTAATCAATGCTGACACCTTCTCCTGGGGCCGTGGGCACCTTATCATGCTCTAGCAGAAGGTGCAGGGAGGAGGGACTCCTCCCAGTGGCCCTGCTCTCTCAGCAGTTAACCTAGCCATTATTGAGTTCCTCCAGTATGCACCAGGCCACCCTCCCGGTATTAGACAAACCAGGTGCAGGGGCAGTGTAGCGGGGCGGAGGTTTTGTGTGCTCTTGGGCACGTCGCTCCCCCTCGGGGCCTCGGGTCTACAGAAGTAACTAGCGGTTCAGAGTGGGTTATCCAGCAGTCTGGCTGCCCTGACCTGCAAGCCTGAGCTCCTTAAGGAAATACCATTTAGTGTTGTCCTCCCAACAGCCCGCAAGGTGAGAGTGCGCGCCTAGAGGTGTTTATCCCCATTTCACAGAATGAAGCTCAAACAGGGGTTGTATGTCTTGCCAAGATGCGCGGCACTGACCCGAGAACTGACTCGGATCTTCAGCCCCCCGCCCCCGCCTCCACCTCCGCCCTCGCCTCCGTCCGGGGTTGGCGCGACGGCCTCTGCCCCTTTAAGAACGCCCCACGGATGCAAGCAGGAAGGGGGCGGTGCCTGTGCCTGAGACGGATGTGCTCGCGCACCAATGGACGCTGCAGTCACCGCGGCGGCGTCCAATGGGCGCGGTGAGGGCGGTGCTGGGT